AATTGCACATTTTTTTCAGTTACAACATTGTTGTTTGTTTAACCCTCTCATGCATTGTGGTCACTACATTAGAGACTGCTAATTTAATGCTGTTTTATTGTATATGCATTAGTGTTGCACGGTGTACCGATACTTGGAAAAAAAAAAAGTTAAAAAAAATCGCAGGCTTTGCGATTTGATAATCGCATCATTTGATAATCGCATCATTTGAAATCGCGATTTCGATTTAAAATCGATTAATCGTTCAGCCCTAGTATAGTTGCACATCAGGCACCACAGTGGATTTTATTATAATATTTGTGTATTGTATTTTATAGTTTTTGCATAATATATCATTTTTTTAATTGGTTTGTTAAACATATATTACTTAAAAATCTGTTTTTTAAAAAATGTCTCATGCATAAAGATGAAAATATCCTTAGTTTGTTGTAATTCGTGCATGGAGTTAATAAATCACACACTGATGGAACATCACTATATTGTAATTATTTATATAGGCTTTTTCTATCAAAAATGTTCAGGGTCGGTCAGGGGGTACTTGGCTGAGAAAATGTTTCAAAGGGGGTACATTACTGAAAAAAGTTTGAGAAGCACTGCTCTATATGACACATTTTATTGTAAGCTAAGAAATACAGCATCAAGTATTGCTTCAGACAGCAGGTTAGGGGGACTGGAGCCATACACAGCGGTGCAGTGATGTGAAGACCAACCCAGAAGTTAGCTTCGCAAGAGTTTTCTCTGATTATTGTAGAAAACGAGATCTGTGGCAAAAAAAGCTTTTATGATACTTGTATGTTTTGTTCATGTCTTCTAGGGCTTCCCCCAAATAGTCGATGAATCACTAGGCAACTAATTAAGTCATCATCGAGGCAATGTTTTATCAGTCGATTAGTTTAAAAAAAATATATATATATAAAATAAAAACTCGCTGCATGTGACGCGTCAGCCAGAAACCCTCAGACTTCATTCAGAGCAGAGCCTGGTCATTAACTGAATTTGGTCGGGCAGGAAATCCAAAGTGTGGATCTACTTTCTGAGCGAGTAAAGGCAAACTACGACGGCAAAAAGTCTCCTCCATATCCACACCATCAGAGCGCAGCTTCCTGAATGCCGGCTTCATAACAAAACACAGAGCTTAATTATCCTCAACGTGTGTTGGAAAACGGCAGCAGGGAGCAGTAGCCTAGCTTTGTATCAACATATATAGACTAGGGATCGACCGATATGGCTTTTTCAAGGCCGATACCGATTATTAGTAATCAAGGAGACCGATAACCGATATACATTTGCAGTAAAATCAGAAAATCTTGGTGTCAAAATGTAGAATAACACAAACTCCAACACAACTCAACACAACTTCTTTGAAATGCATTTAAGCATATATTATGTTTAATGAACTTTTAAACATCTGACAACTGGTTTCCTCTCTGTGCCCTTTTCTTTAGTGCAGTCATCTGCAATGAGTTAGAGAGAGAGACAAGAAGTGGGGCTGCAGGCTGACATGCTTAACTAACAATAATGCTTAATTTATTATATCAAAACAATGGCTGTCTATCTAGCATAAAATCCCAATAAGCTGCTTGCAACTGCAAAACACTAGTGCTAGCTAATGTTTTGCAAACTATTAAAAGTGAGGCTATTACAGTAGACCTAGTTAGTCTAGTTGCTTCACTTCTAATATTTTGCTAAACATTTGCTAGATACATGTTGGCTAGCTAATGAGCTTCACATATCAACCTGAAAAACTGCGAGGCTCCACTCGCAGCCCCCCCCCCCCCCCCCCCCCCCAAACTCTAACTGACTTCCCGCGTCCCTGTGTAACTGGGAAACTGATAGAATTGGATCATAAGATCGTGGTGTTTTTGCAACTTCAGCATAGGGGATAGGGATGTTTATTGAACTTTGGTTTAACACATGTATGGCTCTGCCGCTCAGCGCTGCTGCTTGCTTCAGTCTGTGTCTGCGTTCTTTCGCACCTGCCTGTAATCTGAGAAGGTCCCGCCTCTCTGGCTGGCTCCCGCCCGGAACATCTTCAGTAATAGCCTATCAGATAGCGCTGTGGGCGGGACATTGCTCGTGTACACAGAGTGGTGACTGCAGCCAGAGAAACGGAAGCCAAAGTTTTATCGGCAATTTGATTTAAAAAAAAAAGGCTGATACCGATAATCGGTCAAATGCGGAATATCGGTCGACCCCTAATATAGACCTATAATATATCATCATTCTGACCCCAGAAAACGGTAAAGCTTTCATTTCATGATGAGCGATTTTTGCCGACGCTTATATTTTCAGTGTTTCCGTTTCCTCTGTAGTATTTATTGGGTTGTTATATTCAGATATGAATAATAGAAACTAGAACTAAATGTTCCGTGTGTGTCCTCGCTGCTTGTTCACACACACAATAAGAATCCTTAGCGGAGCTTCTGCTGTTTATACCGCTGCGTCCGTGCGCTGTGACTCTCATGCGCTCTCTACATTTAATTTATATTTCAAAGGTTCATTATTAGTTTTATTTTATATTTGATGTGAAGCACAACGTACCATGCTGTTATAATAACGCTCTTCATCAGCCTTTGAAACTGAAACCATTTTGGGAGAAAAAAAAAGAATTAAAAAAATATATATTTATAATCATAAGGTATCATAAATGTGAGACGATTAGTCGCCTTAATTGACGACTATTGGTCGACTAGAAAAATCTTGGTGGTGTTGGTGTTAGTCATCAGCAGCGAATATTCGGTGCGCGCGTGCACGTTTTTATCATGTGTAACGTTACTGTTTACGGCGGGTTAAAGCCTTCATCATGGCAACTGGACAACAACTAAGCTAAGCTACTACTTACAGCATTCAGGTGACTTTTCATAGTTGTTGTGCCCAGAGTTTTTGTTTTTGCCGGTCAACATGTCCGTTAAAGTTTAAATCTTCCGGACAAAATAAGAAAAGTGCCGGTCAAAGGTCTTCTTTGTTATTTATTGAGCTTTAAAACAAATGTATATGATTTTAAATATTAAACAAACTACATTATTCAAAAGTGTACAGTAATTTATAATAAACGGAGCGCTCTCCCCCTCTCCTGACAGCCCGTCAGTATCGTGCAGCTCGCGGATCAGTAATGAGTGACCCGACAGTAAAACTAACCATATCTCAGGGCTCGACATTATAAATGGCCCGCTGGCCCGAAAGCACTATTTAGACACCCCGGGTCAGCATAACGTACTTTCCACTTGGGGCCACTAAAAATATTGCTTTATAAAAAAAAAATGGTCCTGTGGTATTGGTATTTTGACAAGCCATTTTGTTAAATTGTTTCGTTTATCAACGCTACAACATAGGGTTTCGAGAGGCGGTTGTCGTTGTTGGGTGAAAAGCAAACAGCGGTTTGCTGCGGATCGCAGTACGAGCAGGCTCCCGTGAGCGGGAGCGCGCTCCTTCACTACAGAGTATCCCGCCACCTAACCATTTGCCAAAATGTTTTTAATACCAGCGGTAACCGGCCGAGCGCCGGGCAAAAAACAATCTTCAAATAAAAGAAAGTCACCGGAGGAGTTAAAGGAGAGTGAGGGAGTAGGAGAATAAGAGGGAGAGAACGTTTCAGCCACAAAGACTTGATCGATGGAGTTGGTGCAGTGACGGGTCCTAAAACCCTTTTATAATTTTCGAATCATAAATCTTATCTCGATTGATAATACAATGTGAATGATTGAAATGTTACCCTTAATGTCTACCCCTGTATCTATAACTAGTTTAGGTATGGTAGTTTGAGAGGTAATTAAAATAGCTAAGTGTGATTTTCTAACCTGAGTGTGTGTTTTGTCCGCTCACCGCTGCATGTGATTATGCAGAGCTGCGTGTCGACTCGTCAGCAGCAGCTGATCTCTCTCTCCTGTCAGATTTGACTTCACTCGCATTTATGTCCATATCGATCAGATCTAGCTATTGAAAGCTGAGATTGTATATATTCCCGCATTTTAACAGTGCAATTAAAGTAGTATAAATATAGTATAAGAATGTGGCAATTCGCCTTTATTGATAGCATACATTTAGGAAAAAAGCAAAAAAAAAACGAATATCTGAATAACGAAATTGAAAACCAAATAGTAGGCCAACGACCGAATATTCGGGTACAGCCCTACTGTTCAGTTAGCTTTAACAGGATTATAACTGCTGGTTTTACTCAACTTCAATCAATTTTATTCACACTTCTCAATATACACATTTAGTGGTGGCATGTAACTTAATATATCTACTTAAGTCCAAATGTAAGGTACTTAAATGTTTTCTTTTCATGATACTCTTTACTTTTACTTAACTGCATTTCACAGGGAGATATTGTACTTTTACCTAACTTTTATTATTTGAGTGCTTTATAACTAGTCTTTATAAATTAATCATTAGGTGAATTGACAGAAAGTATATAAGAAACAATTTTGATAGATAAAGTACTTTGAAAACTACATTTTCCTGTTTGTAATCACATACTTTTACTTAGATTTTCCATGCAGCCCAAAATAGGACTTGGCTGTGTTTATCTTTTTATTGCAGTGTGAAAGTGTCCAGAGAAACATTTTCTGCAGGTCCGCAAGATTACAAACAACTAGGAAATACGGAAGGAATCACTTCGTGTTTATTAACACAGGGTAATACTTGGTTAAGTCTTATAGGCATTGAATTAGTAAACTTAATTGGTATTAAAATGTCTTCAAAAGTGTTACAAATTCTCAGTGATTAAATGTGGGATTTTATAAATATGATGCACATATTTTTTTTTAATAATTTACCAAATGCCTCTTGCAAAAATGTCACAGTTGATTTACTGACAATTGTATTCTGAGTGGCTTTAAAATGTCTTTAATCTAATGTGCCTTAATCTCCAGAAACATGGTCACAAAACGAATCACGAAATGTAAACAATATTTTCTATTTACATTTTCTTTGTTAACTTATGATGTGATTTGGTGTCATTATCGAGTACTTAATGGTTTGCTGCCTGTCTGCTGCAGGTGACGGACACGCTGGAGTACATAAAGTCGGACCACCACGTGGACCTGCAGTGTTACTACACCACGGAGCTGAGCGGCCTGAAGTGTGAGTACCCCGACAACATGTCCGGCCACCTGCCGCACAACGGCCTGGAGTCCATCCACATGGCCGAGCTGCGCACCGAGCTCAACAAGCTGCGGCCCGACGCGCTCCTCTTGGAAGGCATGAAGCTCGAACCCGAGTTCGGAGGGGGGGCGTTGTACGAGCTGCAGCCGTCAGAGGTGGGGAAGTCAGCGGGGGAGGCGGCGGGGCAGGGAAGGTTGACCAAAACCCAGAACGCCACCTTGAGAAAAAATCGCAACATGCAGGGGGAGAAGCCCTTCTCCTGCACGCAGTGCGGGAAGAACTTCAGCACGTTGGGCAACCTGAAAACTCACCAGCGCATCCACACCGGGGAGCGGCCTTACACCTGCTCGCAGTGCGGCAAGAGCTTCGGCCAGGCGGGGAACCTGAAGCGCCACCAGCTGATCCACACGGGGCAGAAGCCCTACGTGTGCGCACACTGCCCCAAAGGCTTCACCAAGGCCGACGACCTGCGCTCGCACCAGCGGCTGCACACAGGCGAGCGGCCGTTCATCTGCGTCACCTGCGGGAAGAGCTTCGGCCAGTCGAAGGAGCTGAAGGCACACCAGCTGAGCCACACAGGAGAGCGGCCGTACTGCTGCCAGCACTGCGGCAAGAGCTTCACCAAGGAGTCCAGCTACCGCAACCACGTGCAGATCCACACGGGCGAGAAGCCCTACACCTGCTCGCAGTGCGGCAAGACTTTCAGCAACTCGGGCGTACTAAAAACCCACGAAAAGATCCATTCGGGCGAGCGGCCTTTCGGCTGCACGCAGTGCGGGAAGAGCTTTGGCCGCCTTGGACACCTGAAGGCTCACCAGCAGATCCACACGGGGGAGCGGCCGTACGCCTGCCCCCACTGTGGGAAGACTTTCAGCCAGTCGGGCCACCTCAAAGCTCACGAGCAGATCCACAAGCGGGATCGTGCTGACACGGCCAACGGCGGCAGCATCGGCGGCAGCAGCGGCAGCAGCAGCGGCAGCAGCAGTGGCAGCAGCAGTGGCAGTGGCGGGGGCAGCGACAGCAGCTAAACTCCACACCCTTTAACCTCTCGGAGAAACAAAGTATTATTCCTCTTTTTTTATAAATACTATATATAAAGTTTTTTCCTTATGAATCTTTTCTTACATTTTCATACCTTTTGCATTATATCTGTGGGCAGGGTGCTCTGACTGATTTGCTCTTATGCAAGTGTCTGCGTGTGTGTTCATGTACTGTGTGTTTGTGTGTGGGTGGGGCGGGACTGTAGATAATCTTTAAACTGAAGTCCCACTACTTATTCTGATACAAGCACAAATACTTCAGTGACCAATCTTGAGTACTTAATTTAGTTTTTTACTGAAAGAGACCAGCAGCTGAACCAGGACGCTGTTTACTCATCCTCAATACTATCATTATTAGTAGTAGTATTATTAATATTAGTATTATATTTCACCAGCGCTCAGGTGTTTCCTTACGCAGTACTTCACAGTGAGTACTTGTACATGATAATGTGTAACAGAATACAGAAATGTTTTGTACTTTTATAGCCTCATTTAAAATGTTTCTTATCTGGATTAAATCCAGAGGAATTTTACTTCACTACTGTTTGCACACAAACGATGATGGAGAGAGGTGATGTTACATTTAAAAAAAAATAATAACTCATTAAAGTGGTACATATATATGAAAGAATACTTTATTACGAGAAATAAATCAACAGACTTAAGTGAAAAAACCTGAGAAATTCTCTGAGATTAAAGTGGTAGTTTTTTGTTTCAAAGACTCTCGTAATTAAAGGAGAAAAAATCACAAAATTACATTTACATTGACTATTCAAATCTCAGAAAATTACAAGTTTTTTAGCTCGTAAATGTACGAATGTTATTCGCCAGCTGGTACAAATGAACATTTGCAGATTTAAAAAAAAAAATGAAATGTTAATTTACGTTAACCTAGAAAGGAAAATAAATGGGAACTACATTTGTATTTTTTATTAATCTTTAAATAATGAAGGCAATTCAACTAACAGGGTAGTAAAACACATCAAATTATCACATTTTATTTTTCTTTATTTACAAAATTAAAGTAGATAGTTATGAAAGTAAATAGGGAACTAAACTCAAATCATATTAAATAAAATAAAAGTAGGGAGCACGATTTTTATTGGACCCAATATCAAAGTCAACTTTATTGTCAATCTTTCAGTTTGTGTGTACAGACAGAGAGATCGAAATACCGTTTCCCAAAATCCCGAATGCAATATAAGGATGTCTATACTATGAATTATAATCCAAATAAAGCATTATTACTATAGGAAATCAAATATATTTAATTCAAACCGATAGAAGAAGCACGCGTACAGTGTGCAACATCTTTTTGATTTTATTGTATTTAAAAAAACGTGCTCATTTGACTTTATTTGAATATTTCATCAAGTTATCAACTTCTTTTTTTTAAAGTTACTATTGGCTGAAAAACATCCATAGCGTGCATCCCTACTAAAATAAATGATGTATTGAAAATGAAACATTCAACCAAAATATAAAAACCTTTTTTTGCAAGTTTTACACTTTTTTTAAATGAATTATTAGTCGAGTTGGCAGCTTAGTGAATCCGGAAATGTTGAGTACTCAACGTTTTATGTTAGAAATATATAGTACGGGACCCACAGCCGGATGCTAACTTGCATATGTTGTAAAATGCATTATAACCTGTTGGCAATAGTTAGCACAATTTTGGAGTGGTTTTAAATGTTATTTAGGATACCAAATCCATTTTCTGATATTTTCAGGATCAGAAATTGCAGTTGTAACCAGAAAGTGGCCATATTTGTACTCTCAGTGGGCTGATTATGAATACCATGAGTAGTGTTGCGGACATTGGATATAGAGTACAATATGAACGTTATTATCTCTACTGTGGAACATTCTTTTTCACATAAATAGCCAATCTGTCCAATCCGAATGATTCAGAGTCCCCTTAATCTTAAAGATCGACCCATAATTTATAAAAATCAGTCCACTGAGAGTTCAAGTATTGGCATTTTCTGGTTAAAACTGCCATATTGATCCTGAAAATGTCAGAAATTGGCTCTGCATCTTCAAGTAACCACAAAAACCAGTCTCAAATTGGCAAAGCAATTTTTAAACTATTGTCCCAGGTTATAATGGTAATTAACGCACTTATGCCGATTGTACAAATTGCCCAACATATGAAAGTTAGCATCTGACAGTTTCTATGTGCTGGAGACCCATGCTATACATTTCTAACATAAAACTATATGAGCTGGCAAATAGACTATATAAATACTTTAACCACAAAAAACGAAATATTGGCTTTTTCTTTTTTGTTGCTTTTTCTAATTTCCTCTGCTGGTTTTACCTCCGACAGCACCAGTGTCCATGATTACAAAGTCAACATTTAAGATGATAAGTTAAGATGCTTTCAGGAAAAATCCCTGTAGAAACATGCAGACTATAAATCATTTTGTATTTTTGTTAAGCAGGGTCCTGGTTCAGTTAAAGTACATTTCAATCTTTTGTCAAGTGTGTACAAGTACTTCCTGTTTGAGTACTTCCTGCCAGTTTACTCGTGTTTCCTTCCTGCGTTGGGAGTTTACTGTATTGTTAAAAACCTGATGATATAATTTAGTTATTTTTTATTGACTAGTATTGATCAGGAGGCACCGCAGTGACGATAATCTGCTGATACGACATTCCTCTTATTGGTTTTTGTAGCAGGATTAAAAATCATTCCAGTTTTTAGCATCGTCGGGCTCCACAAGGACCAAAAAAAACCTGACGGCAGCACAAAGAGCCCGACTCACCGATCGCTCACTGTGGACACATCTTTATTACCGCATTCCTAATAAAATGTAAGAAAAAGAAAGAAAGAGCGTCTTGTACTGGAAAAAGATTATTAAAGAAACTAATGACAAGCCAGCTGTGTTTTTGCTTTATTTCATTTTCTTTAGACTTAACTTGGCACTCGTATTTTTCAAGGTATAACACCATATGTTATTACAACACATTTCTTGTCATGACTACCTACGAGTAAAACTTATGTATGAAGTAATTGTGCATGAATTGTTCAATACATCTTGACCGCCAGGGGGCAGTGGAAGTTAATGTTGAAATAACCAAATTTCTACTGTTAAATTATTCTTATTATCTTCATTTAAAAAAATTAACTAATAGTATTTTATTTCTCTGACTATTTAAAAAAAAAATATTATTAGCAGTAGAACTGTATTTGTATTACATTCTAATGTCAATCAATCTAACTGTTTTACGTAGCTTTGAAGTCATTTTCAAATCTTAGTTTTCTCCAAGAAATATATTATTATTATACTTATTTTATATATATTTATGTTTATAATTTGTCCATTTTAATCTCTTAATTCATTAATTAGGGCCTTAGGCTCTGTTTGACTTTACAGTTAAATGTCTTCCTTTTTTTTCAAATGTTTAAAAATCTAAATGATGTATTTAATATAAATGCAAAATATGACAGCATCCTGTTTAATGTTATCTTTAACATGACGTAACATTTCCTGACGTTAAATACTCAACGGTTTGGGAAGGCATGGAAAAAGCTTTCTCATGTTCTCTATGCCACAGCTCTATATATAGACATTTTTATTGATTGGGATAAACCCCTTGAGATGCACCATCATGTTTTCAAGGGGGTCCCGACAATAGCAACAACTTACAGACATACATAAACAAAAAGACAAAATGCAAAACATGACACACAAGACAAACCACATACAGTCTGTTAAAGAGCCTGTGACAGCCTCCCAACAACTGTTGTGCAATGAAATATTGGGCTACTAGTAATCTCGAACCGTCAGTTTAAAAAAGAAGGTGCGATACCGTTCCGATAAATATCAATAATTTCGAACATCGCGGGGAAATTCCTTCGACTCATTTTGAAGTTTTGGGGGAAGCCGGAAGTGACGTCAATGCGGGAACGCTTCACTGTGCGGCGAGAGAGCCAAACACTAGTGCTGGGGGGAAACGATTATTTTGAAAACCGATTAATCGGGCGATTATTTGATCGATTAGTCGACTAATCTAACGATTATTTTTCTGTTGTTCAATTCATAAAAAACGTAATGTAAAAAAATTTTTTTTCACGATACTGTGTCTCAGGGGATCTTAATATTTAAGAACCTATTAATGTGTTATACCAGATTAACGGAAATAATCTCAGCTAATTGACGATACAAACCATGTTTACCAAAACAAAACACAAGTCTCATAAGAAGCATCTAAATGACCCCTGAGCGAAAAATGCTAACGGACATTGGCACAGAACTCAAGATAAAAGTACCCTTATTACTTATCGTAGCTGCACATACAATATATCCGATTAAAGCTGAGACTCCACAGATTATGTAGGTATATAGTATCATCACTGAGTGATCCGGACTCGCGACAGGGGAAGCAAATACAGTCATCACAACACGTACCTTCACAGAGCTTCTAGGGAGATCGTCTCACCACCGTAATCTGATCAAAAGACGTGTTCAATGGCCATAAAATGAGAAAAAACGCGGCTGAATCGGTTAATCCATAGGTTCTTAACGTCTATGTATAAAAAAATGATTGAATTTATGATCCATAATTCCATTTTATGTAAAAAAATCGGAGAGCAAATGCTAGCTGCTAATGGTAGCCACCACAGCTAGCTGCTGCTTCTGCTAGGCTATGCAGCAGTCTCAGTGAGATATAAATATATAAATATCTTTGCGTTTTGGACTAACTTTAAAATATTCCCATGCTTTTGAAGACCTAGGGCGAGATGTTTTCGTTTGGGGGCTTCGTGCGCAATCCTGTGAGGAGGAGGTGGTAGCCGTTTCAGTCTCCATTGTGTTTGAAGTGCGATTGCGAACTGCTTGTTGCTTTGGGTGACCCACGTGTGTGTAGCGACGCGTCGACGCGGAAATATGTCGTCGACGATATTTTGAAGTCGACATCGTCGACGCGTCGCTACAGCACTACCAAACACGGACAAAGTGTGTTGTCATGCGTAGAAATTGTGAATTACTGAGTTTAGGCTCGTTAATAACGTTTTAATGAAGTTGACTACAGTATATTCATATTTGTCAGTGCTTTCATGTCAATTCGGCAAACATAAACATACATGATCGTGGTGAAGATGATGATTACATTAGGATTAAAAATCGGTAGTGAGAGCTGCTGAATTTCCTCCCGTCGGATGTGATATAAAAACAAATCGATTATTTTTGTAGTTGTAAACTCAAGTGGATGAAACTACATGTATTAGTGCTTTCATGTCAATTCGGCGAACATATGATACATTAAATGATCGTGAGGATGATTTAAAAATCGTTTGTTTGAGCCGGTCTGCATTTCCTGATGAGAAAACAAACCGATGCTTTTTGTAGTTGTAGTACACCAACATGGATTAAACGTGTGTTTTTTTTACCACAATGTTGGGGAAATTAATGGATAAAATGCACGGATTATTATTATTATTCCCACTCCGATCGGGACACTAGGTCCACCGTTTCCCCGCAGCGAGGCTCCCCCCGTTGACAATTTACTAGCAGTACCGAAGTGGGCCGGTCGAGAGTCCCGGGATGATTTTTAGTCCCAGTCCACCACTGGCTACATGACCGTATGATCGCCCATATTGACGCACCTAATTCCTAAACTTCTAACAGATACAACATAAAGCGATCCTTCAGCCTCATATGAGCTCTCAGACACGTTCAAAATTAAACTGTCATCGCTGTCTGAGCTTGCTGCTGTGTGCGCCATCGTGCATTTACATTCAGATGCTGTGATCCTGAACGGTGCAGCTGGAGCGCTGTGCCCGCAATGACGTCACATAATTTGGCGGGACTTGAAGAACCCCGAGAAGATCCAGAAAATGGTCAACATTGAAGGACAAATTAATGGTTATCAAAGTACAAATATCCAAAATCAGTTCAGTAACGGTTTTCAAGGGGACAATATTTACTCAAATTGATGGGTTTGGATGATGGGGGAAACTCGTGTCACAGGCTCTTTAAGTAAAATTCAAGCAATTCATACAATCATTACAATTTGAGACAGTCAAGCAAATCAGTTTCATCAATATCAGTTTCATCTATGGAGCAGCAGAGGACAGACTCCAGTTTATTCTCCCTGAGGAGGTTGCAGTGTGCAAGGAGGAGTGCACCCCAAAAGGGCAGTACCCCTGTGATGAGACTGTTTTTGAACTGTGCGTTCTCCTAATGGGTGTAAATCGTTGGAGCTCTCCTGTGGATGCATATAGTGCAGTGGAACTGTATTCACTCTTAAGAAATGAAATACTTGAAACTATTTTAATAGCCCATCATAATGGGTACTTTGTTTCTGCATTGCCCCGGAAAAGACACTTCAAATTTGCAGAAACACTGTCACCTATTATTGTAACCTAACTTTGTTAACATTACAGACCTTTTGGAAAGTCTATGTTAAGGAAGGTGCAGAGATAATAAGAAATACATCATATTTAAATTCATAAAATGATGGAGCAATGAAAAACAAAAGCATTATGCACCTAATTGGAGCAGTGATATTTCTTTATTGCAGAGCAAGTGATACATTGTATAATATGTGTCCTGTGCTGAAAATAACAAAGACATTATTGTATATGTAGTATCAAGAAGATCTCATTAATGTTTTACTCATCAAATGTATTCAAATAAGAAAAAAATTACCTTGTGAGTGTTGAACAATATTTTCCTCTGAATGAGTAAGTACAAGTACATTAAGTACAATTACTTCAAACCTAAAGAGCCTTGAAAACCTTTGAAATCATCATACTTTCATTAAGAAATGACCTAAACAAAATATGACATGTACAATTCGTTTTTAGTATGCACATGTATATACAAGGACTAACGGTCATTCTTCCTGTAAACAAGAGACTATTAAACAGTGTCTCAGAACCCTCTTCTGTAATCAACAAGAATTTGTGTGAATGTTATTTTTCAGCATGTTTTAAAGAATGTATCTGTTTGCTTGTGCAAATAATTGTCACACTTAAGCTTAAAATGAGAATGTCTGGCCAACAGCTTTCAATATCAATATTCCTACCTACACAATGTCCATAATCCAGATGTTGCTCTCTAGAATAGAATTGAACTCACTGCGGAAGTCAGGAAGACTATCATAGTTGTCAGACAGTTGCAATATCATCCCACATGTACGTCCAATTGGCCTTCTTGTGAAACTGCTTTGAGCTATGAACTCCACCTCGATTTGACCAGATGTTAACAAATTAGAGCCAGTGCAGAACCTCAAAAATCTTCCAAGCTTTTCCTCATCAAGTTCCCTGATGTACCTCTTCAGGTGAAGTGTGACCTCGGCTTCCTTTGATTTCATCTCTGTAGGAAAGTGTAATACACTTAACACCTTCTTTGGTGTTAGTTTGAGGTCACTGTACATTTTGGTGAGTTCCCAAGAGTTCAATGTGATCTCCCTCCAGCAGCCGATGACAAACATTGGTTTTTGTACCTTTTCTTTGTGAGATATTTCATCCAAGATTTCTGGGAGACTAGCAGCAGTGACCCTCTTCCTACATTCATAGCTCTTAAGCACGTCAAGAAGTTCATCAGCATCAACAGAAGAAAAATCTGCCAAAGCATCCCTGAGGAGATCCTGCTCCTGGCGGCTTACAAATTCAAGGAATCTTGTCTGCAGGTTACTGTGCGCTGCCCCAAACAGCATTTCCTCTAGAAAAGGTGGAGCTAGCTTGATTGACATGTACTGACAATCTTGAAATCCTTTCATAAAAATTCTCCCAATAGCTTTCCATGTAGCAGTAGAGAAATCATGCCTGAGGAAAGGCACTTTTACAGTTGTTCCAAGGGTGCATCGTTCATAAAACTCTTCCCAGAAGCTACTGTAGACATCTGACAACTCCAGACCCACTACCCTTTT